AAAGTTAGAAATCACCCCCCAGGGGGGATGGCCACGCCACAATCCCTTCTCCTCCATTCTCCTCTCGGGATCTTGGGCACACATGCACACACGCCCAACGTGAGTTTTAAGCCACCGGATTCAGGATGCGAACTGCGGTCAACTACGTGGGAGTCCAGCAACATAACCATTACGCTAACTGCTGGTCCCGGCCCCTTTTGCTGTTTCTGATCTCAAGCCTCTGGACACCCTTGCAGCCCTGCAGCCAGTCCCCTCCTAGACAAACTAGATTCCTCCAAGATCCTCAAGGGCAGATCTTTAGCAGGAGAGTTCAGATGCCCCTCTCTTGCTTCCCCGATGCCCGTTGCCTCCCCCAAGAGCTCCCAGTAGGAGGCTTCAACTGACCTCCAGTACTGAGCCCTGGCCCTGGCCCCAGACAACCTACTCTAAGACCCTCCTCTCAGATGCTGCCCTGTTCACAGCCCCCATGGTCCCTGGTCTCCCGGTGAATAGGATAGCAGGGTGCTTCCTCCAGGTATTCTAACAAGTCCCTTCTTCTCACCCTCCCTGGCTGACTCCACAGTGGACCCCGTGGACATGGAGAGCACTCGCATGGACTCCAACTTTGGCCTGGCTGGGCTCCCTGGCTCCCCCAAGAAGCGGGTCCGTATTGAATGCAAGTGTGGGACTGAATCCTGCCGCAAATACCTCTTCTAGCCCTTAGAAGTCTGAGACCAGACTAACCAAAGGGGCCTGAAGCTGCCTTCCCTGATTCCCACCGTTGCCCTCCAGCTAAGGAATGACTACCAGGGCCTCTGCCTGCCCCACCTGCTCCACATTCCGGGCTGTGGTGAGGACCCACTGCAGGAGTCCCCATTCCCTCTCCCAGCCCTGCTCATGGGTTGTACTTAGAAACCCCGCCTACCTTCAGAAGTAATTTTTTTGACATCACAACTTTCTGCAGTTGGGATTCATGACCTATCAAGGAGATCCAAGTTGTGCGCCACAGCCCAGTCCCAACAGAGAAAGATGTTTGTCTTTGCACCTGCTTCTGCCTGGAGCTTAAGGGGTCTGTTGCAGGCCTCCTCCTTACTGCCCCAAGGGTATGGGGAAGCCACCCCAGGGCAGGCAGACATCAGAGTCCATAGTCATGGCCTGCCAAACAGCTGGTTCCCTAGCCACAGAAACTTTGTGCTAGTGAAAAAAGGGAGGGGGACTTCAGGGCTGGGGGCTGAGGCTTGCCTACAGTACTGGATCGTGTTGGCCCCAAGAGCAGTTATGTCTCTGCTTCAGGGCTGCACATCTAAGAAGGGGACACCCACATGCCACTAGAAGGGCAGTAGGTGTCCACAGCCCACTAAGAGGAAGGCAGCCCAGGTTTTGTCAGCCCTGGAGATGGGCTGGGACTGAACTCTGCCTTCAGGGAGTATAGAGGCTCAGGGTTCTGGAAGCCCTGATCTAAGGTGTGATGACTGCTGGGACTACTCAGAGCTGGAACCAAGACCTAGGTGGCCTGTAGATAGCACTTAGGATGATAATGTGCATTGATAGGGTGCTGATGAGGTGCCAGGCACAGCACAGAGCACCTGGTCCACGTGGATTGTCTCAGGGAAGCCTTGAAAACCACGGAGGTGGATCCCAGGGGAGGCTCATACAGCAGAAAGGCCAAGAGTGGGTGAAGGGTTTACCTACTCAGATACCATGAGGCAAGAAGGAAGCTCCTGTCACCTCCAGGCCCCAGCCGTTTGCACTCACTCTGGGTCCACTGGTTTCGAAAGTTACCTGCCTACAGATGTACAAAAGGCGAAGGTTCTGATGGCTGCCTCGCCCCTTGCTCCCCTGCCCCCTGTGAAGTCTTCTTTAGGAAGACTTTCCTGACTACCTGTGTCTGGAGTGTCCCAACGTGAGACTGTGTGCCCTGCTACCAGATGCCAGATCTGTGTGTGTCTGTGTGTCCGTCCTGCCCACCCCTGCCCAGACCAACCTTCAGGCATGGACTGAATCTGGTTCTTTTCTTGTATACCCCTTGGCCCTACCCAGCTTGGAGTGGGCATCAATAAAGTGAGTGAGTGAATAAGCCAAGGTGTGGGGGATTGAGGACCTTGTGTAGGAGGGGGGGTGGGGGTTGCTCAGGAAGATGTGTTCCTCAAATCTTAGCCATTGGAGACTAATTCTCCCAATTTCAGTCCCCATAGCACACCACTTATGTCATCCTCTGCATAACATCTTGACCTAAAATAAGCTTGTTTTATACTTAACTTTTTAAAGGATTTGACCATATGACATGAGCACTCACCAGAGAGAGAGACAGAGACGGTGAGAGGAAAAGTGAGAAATCACCTCTCGGAGGGATGGCCACACTGCAATCCCTTCTTCATTCTCCTCCTGGGATTTTGAGCACACCCACACACATTCCAGACATGATTTTCAAGCTGCCAGGTCCAAGACTCAAACCCCAGTCAGCTTTGTGGGAGTCCAGCACCTTAGCCACTGTCACCTGCTAGCCTCTATACTTAAATTTTAAAATGCACTTAAAAAGCAAACTAGGGGGAACCAGCAGTTAGTGTAATGGCTATGTCGCTGGACTCCCACGTAGTCGACCGCGGTTCGTGTCCCGGACCCGGTGGCTTAAAACTCACGCCGGGCACGTGTGCGTGCGTGCCCAAGATCCCGAGAGGAGAATGGAGGAGAAGGGATTGCGGCGTGACCATCCCCCCTGGGGGATGATTTCTCGCTTTCTGTCTCTATGTCTCTCTCTGTCTGGCGAGCGCACGCGCCCTACAGTGAAAATCTCTCAAAAAAAAAAAGCAAACTAGAGCCAGTCACAGTGGCATGTGCTGCAGATGCACTGTGTTCTCTAGACTTGGGCTGCATGGGAAGCCCAAGTTCAATTCCTGGTCCAGTCTAAAGGCTGGGTGCAGTGGCATATGCACCTATAATCTCAGCAGTTTGGGAGACAGGCAGGGAGGTTGTGAGCTCCAGGCCAGCCTGGGTAGCAAAGCACGACTGTTGGAACAAGAGCCAGGTGTGGTGGTGCACACCTGTAGTCCTGCTGGGAGACTGAGGCAGAAGAGCAACAGTGAGACACTGTCTTATGAAAAATAGGCAAACTAAATCCATTGCTATCTAAATGGACCATTATCACTTACCATAAACAAAAAGCCGACCAAATAACTACAGTGAAAATCCAGAAATGTGACAAAATTCTAACTGGACCCTCCCTGCCCTTAGAGACAACTCAAAGCCTGTCTACTGCATTCAAAAAGAAAAGTGTATGCGAGCTAAGGAAGCTTTTTCTGCAAATATTTATTGAGCACCTATATATGCCAGGATATAAGGTGGAGAACAAAGGTGTGACACTTCAAGTACACTGGCTTTCATTATCCTTCAGCCTGAATGTAAGCCCATGCTCCAGTTTTGCTCAGAGACCTCACATGTTGTGACACAGATATTCACATATTTCAAAGACCTCACATGGGTGACAATCCCAAGCAGCCCAGAGCCCTCATACTCTATGTGACAAAAGATATTCAAATACACACCTTACACACAGGGTACCTAGGACACAGATACCTCCATATACTTTATAGTCTTTATACCCTGAATGCTAGTTCCAACCCTCAGATCTCACACCCTGGGGTATACACCCACACCAGAGCTCTCGTACCTGGGCACATACCAGATAACTCGGGCATCACTGAAACTATGGGTCTTAGACTCCCCAACATCTCTGAGGCTTCAAATGGTGCTAATACTCTGGGAGTCAGACCAAATCACATCAGGGATCTTCTGTGATAGAAATGCACAAACATCACAAAGACCTCACAATGTGGGATATTACTGCTCAGCTATTCAGAGCCTTCACACCCTGATCCTTGACTCAAACTGCTCCAAGAGTTAACATCCTGGGACAGACCCTCCAGAGGGCTGAAATGTCACACCCTGGACAGAGACTGCCCAAACACCTTCAGATCACACTCTGAACAGATTCTTAAATGGTTCTGAAACCTCATATCTTGGACACAGACCTGCCAACTGGCTTCAAGACACCCCCGCCCCTAGATCATAGTGCCACAAACAGCTCAGAGACTCATGACACAAGACCCTCAAGGGCTTAGAGTTCTCACAGCCTGGAAACAGATCCTGCTCAGAAAATTCATACCTGGGAAACATACGGCTCATAGACCCCCCTGCCCCAAAACAGTTCAGAGCAAGGACATCCTAAGAATAGACTACCCAACACACCCAAAGAACTCAAGAGACCTGAAAATCTGATAATAGACCCCCACAAAGCTCAAGGACTTCACAATCAGGAATAAAGATGCACTAATTTTTCAGAACTCAAAAATGGATAAACAGTTCAGAGACCTTGTACCCTCTTCTCAGACCATCACACAGTTCAGATGAGCTCACATCCTGAACATTTTCCTGTTCAGAGATGTCATATATACTGGGCACAGCTTGGACACTGAGATCCTGAAATAGCTCAGAGGCTCCTCATACTCTATTCAAAAGAAATTAGAGACCTGAAAATATGGACACACACCCTCTTCATAGCTTAGAGACCTCACACCCTATGATACAGACCACAAACAACTAAGAAACTATATCCTAGGTGCAGATTTTCAAACAGTTCAGAATCACCACACTCTAATCACAGACCTCCAAATGATTCAGAAATATACCCTTGACTCAGACCTCAAAACCATTCACAGAACTTGAACTTTTTATTCATTCATATCTAGAAGATTTCAGATACCTGACAGACATGGGCACATTATCACTAAACAGATCTGAAACTTCATATTCTGGACAAAATTGACCACAAACAGCAAAGAGACCTCATAACTGGGACACAGACCCAAAACAACTTAGAGTTCTCACATCATGGACACAGGTTCACAAACGGCTCAAAGAACTTTTAGCCTGTTTAGCCTGGGAGTCAGACACGAAAACAGTTCAAAAACTTCACAGCCTGGCTACGTATGCTCACATGACTCAAGCACTTCACATTATGGGACACAAATCCTCAAAGAATTAGCCACATAACCTGGAAAATAGACCCACAAACAGGCCAGAGACCTCACGGAGCAGACATACAATGCCAAAATGCTCAGAGTTAACACAATTTGCACCCTAGTACGCAGACTCTACAAACAGCTCAATAACGATCTGGGCACAAGTCTCCAACATAACCCCAAATTGCTCAAACCCTAGAAAAAGACCTTAATAAGTCAGAGACCTCATACCCTGGGACTGAGCCTCTTACAACACAAACTACCTCACCCTTAGGAATGTAAACCAGAGCCAGCAGGCAGTGTACTGGTTAAGACACTGGACTCCCATGTGGCCAACTATGGTTCGAGTCCCAGTTCTGGTGGCTTGAAAACCATGCTGGGGGGGGGTGTGTGTGTGTGCGTGCACATGTGTGCCCAAAATCCCAAGAGGTGAATGTAGGGGAAGGGATTGTGATGTAGCCATCCCTCCTGGGGGTGGGGGGTGATTCTGTCTCTGTCTCTCTAGCAAGCACACACGCCCTGTAGAAAAAAAACAAAAAACTTTTAAAACTGTCTCTGTCTCTCTAGCAAGCACACACGCTGGAGAAAAAAAAAAAAAAACTCTTAAAAAAAAAAAAAAGAAACAACCCAACAGATGAGGGAAATCAATACCATGGGATACAGAGATCTCATACTTAAGGGTACAGAGGGTGAAGCCCCTCAGAGACTTGAAATAGTAAGAAGACATCAAGAGAAACATCACCTCAGAGACCTGAAATAGTAAGAAGACATCAAGAGAAACATCATTCTCTGAAACAGATCCCGAAACTACTCAGAGAAATCAACCCTAGTACAAAACCCACAACATCATAGAGAACTCATTCAGCTCAAAATGGTTCAGAGAGATGACACCCTGGGTACAGACACCCGAAAACATCAGTCCTCATACAAGAGTAAACCTGAAAAGAGAGACTGCTAAATAGTTCAGAGACATCATACTCCTCTGTAAGAGACCACCACAAAGAGATCTCACACACCAGATACAGACCTTTAAATGGCTCCAAAAAATTACACACCCACTAAAAGCTCAGAAACCTTAACCCTGGAATAAATACCTAATGAATCAGATATATCACACCCTGGAACTGAGGCCTCCAGAAAGGAAAAGAGACTTCACACCTGAGAAAATATCTCAAACAAAGCAAGGAATTCTGACACCAAAAGAACTCAGGGACCACATATTCTAGGAGGCAGGTGGCCAAGTAGCTCAGAGACCTCATGATGGAAACAGTCACCCAACAGCTTAGTGAACTCACCCCCCGGCATGTTGACAGAAAAGGCTCAGGATTCAGAAAGCCTTCTGAGAGTTAGAATATAGGCCCCAAAATATAATTCAGAAAATTAGTATGCTGGATGCAGAATATCAAATAACTCAGAGACCTCAAATCCTCTTGACATAACCAAACAGATCAGAGACCTCACATCCTGGACATATACCAATAAACAGATCAGGGACTTCATACCTTGTAACAGGCAAAAACAGCTCAGAGAATTCAAATTCTAGGAAGCACACACCCAGAAAAAAGCAGAGACCTCATATCCTGTGACATACAGAAAGGTTAAAACCCATATAAGCTGAGATGTATAACCAGATATTTCAGACAAATAAGATCCAGGGCCTCACACCCACAAACAGATTATAGACTTCAATCCCTGGGACATATGCATATAGAGATCAGGTACTTCACGTGCTGTGATGTACACCCCACAAACAGAGCAGAGCACTCACACCTTGGGATATAAACCAAAGAATAACCAGGGGCCTCCCATATTAGCACATGCATGTACAAAAAGACTAGCGATTCAGATCCTGGACCATAAACCCAAAACACCTCAGAGACTTCACATGCTGGGACAAAGACAGGTCAAAACCTCATACACTGGGACACAGTGCCACAATCAGATCACAGACCACACACTATTGGCAAACAGTTAAGAGCATATGAGAATACGCTCATCCTGAGAGACAACAACCACAAAAGGATCAGAGATCCACAGCTCAATGTACACTCACAAT